TCGCGACACTTTTTTAAATAATAATGTGTTCTGCAAAGTCGTAGTACATTATTTTATTTTATCATCAATAGTTTTCGCAGCGCACGGGATGTAACGAATATTTTAGGTAATTTTTGCACACTTTGGGTTACATTATTGAAGTTTTAGTAAGGATCCCTAGTTTTTTTGAAAATATAATATAGCCTATGTCATACGGAGATAATGTACCTTCCCAACAGTGAAAGAATTTTTCAAATCGGTTCAGTAGTTTCGGAACCTATTCAATACATACAAATAATCAAATCTTTCCTATTTATATAATTAGCATAGACAATATTTTCATCACATTATTTCGTAATGTTTGCTCTGAATCAAATTATGTCTTTTACCGTTTCAATGCAATGTTAAATAATCGAAAGAAAAATCTTATGGGAAAACTTTTATATTATCACTTCTTTAACTTTTATTTTTCTTTAAATACAATTATTCTTATAAGGTACAATTTTTTTCACATACAAATACACGAGCGTAACGCATAGCAGCAAGAGAATGAAAATTAAAAAAAAAAACAATTTATTCATCAAACATGTTAGATAGGAATAAAACGTTCCGAACGCGTTAATTAATTGAGTGAATTAACAACAAATTGTAAATTGTTATTATAGAACGCTGGCCACATGGCGGCGCTGCAACGGACTAACGGACTGCTGTACCGTTGCGCCCCGGGCAATGCCACCTGTCCTAATGGTTCGAAGTTCACTCATTTCGTTATTAAATTTACTTTATAGCGCATTTGCCAGTTTTTGACTACCATCCCTGCTTCGTAAGCGGTGACGGAGCGGTAGGCAAACGCACCAGTTTACCCATGGATGTTTTACCCTCGTCTAGAATAGCATTAACAGCAGTAACAGAACGATAAAATGCCATTTGTAAAATGTTCTAATGGAATTAGTTCAAATGATGTTGCTCTAATACAGAGCATCAAACTTTTCCCGATATTTTTTTTATAAGGCAAACGAGCTGATGTTAAGTGATAACCGCCGCCCATGGACATTTGCAACACCCGTAGGGTTGCAGATGCCCGTCTACCTCACTCACCAGGCGAAACACAGAAGTGTAACACGTGAGGTAGAGCTCACATCGGTCTTCTGCGAGGTCATGGTACTAACGCGCAGGTCCGTCCATTCGTGCAACGGCGAACACTGTTGCGTCGCCCTACCACAGTTAAATATTTGTTTTTCTTTTTTTCTATTATCTAGATAATAAACCAATTACATTATTTTAAGTGACATCCAGTGATGTTTTGTTATGTTATTAATCCACGGGCACTAATGTCCGCTTAAACTTTTTGGCTAAAACTTCTAAATGAAACTAATTTTACGGATTTATGGCGTTCATGGTTGCGGGACAGACTGTCCTCTAAAATAAGATGTTACTCTAAAATAAGAGGCATCGAGGATAAAACCTTCTGGGAATGAAACCAAGACAGTTCAACAAAAGTGAAACATTGCAGCTAATTAACAAGAAGTTGGTTCTAACGGCCTAGTATAAATTGACTATTTTTTCTTATTACACATGTAATAATGTCTTTTACATACCGTTTGCAATGTTAATAACACACAATATACTTCTGTCAATATTAGTTACATTTTACATTTATTATATTATTATACCTAAGCATAAAAAATTTTGAGCCAGATCCGTTTATAAAGGATTTTTTATGGCAGCTGATGTTAGAGCCTAGTAATAAACATAATAAACAAAAATTAAGCAAATCTAAATTTTGACGAAAACTTTAAGTACCAAAACTTAGTTTAATTTTCAACTTTTTTATTTTTCGGAATTTTCCTTTGTGCCGGAAGTACCCAATAGATTTTAGGTCAAAAATCTATATGGTAGATCTGGTTGACCTCGAATCACGAATTGATTTTTATACACCTATTAACAACTATAGACCTCAGTATCTGGTATAAATTTCAACTTGCTAGGTCCACCCGTTTCTGAGAAAATCGGTGGTGATTATTTACTAATTTTATTATGGCGGTATAATGGGTAGGTACGGAACCCTCGGCGTACGAGTTCGACTCGCACTTGACCAGTTTATTTTTTCAAGTTTCTTCTTTTATGAGAATCATCCAGGTACTAGAAGAATAAGTAGCGAAAAAATTCAATTTCATCAATTTCATAATTGAGATAATTTTTCTATCGTTAAAAATATTTTTAGTAGTAAATTATCCATCTTACCGCCATTGAAATAATATTCACAATATGAAGAATGTATATATTGAAGAGTGGGCAGTAATATAAAATGTTTTCTGAAGTTAATATTACACAAGTGTTAGTGAATTACAATGAAGGTGACCTTTAAAGTAATTAAATAAATGCAACGACCCAGATCTAATGCACCTGCGTGATAAACCACCAGCAGTAAGCTTTTAATTGGCGTTGTCAGCTTGGACCGCGGGGGGGTCACCTCTCACCCGACCTCCCGACACTCCAGTTTTTCTCTCGCCCTCCCAGTCAACAGGTGGCCCGATGAGGTGACCGAAATTTTCAAAACTGAATTAAGCCATGCGATACAGATGAAACTGACTTCACGGCCACACTATCCATTTCAAATGGATTTGTTTCCATTTTTAGCAGAACGCGCACTGCGTATACCTACATTTTGAAAAAAGACCCTAATGCTTTCCGTGTAAAACAATCTTGCGAAAATGTATTTATTATCTACTAGCGACGCGGTGCGATTTCGTACGGGTGCAATGTATTAAACATATATTTAGGTTTATAGTATTATACATCAACCTTCCACTTGAATCACTCTATCGTGTAAAAAAAACGGCATCAAGATCCGTTGCGTAGTTTTAAAGATCTAAGCATACATAGGGACAGACAGACAGCGGGACGACTTTGTTTTATACTATGTAGTGATGCACAGCAAAGAAATTTTAACGGTGGTAGGGCCACGCATCAGCCTCGGCAGTTGCGCGAATGGGCAGGCTCGTCCGGGTAAGTAACACGACCTCAAAGATGACCGGAGTACAGTGAAAGTATAGTACTTTCGCGTTTCATCTGGTGAGTGAAGTGGCCGGAGCCCAATTTTCAAAAGGTTGTCAACGCATCTGGAACCCTATGGTGTAGCAGATGACCATGGGCGGCGATATTCACTTAACATCAGGTGAACACAACTTTTCACATAGAAAAAAAAGAGACGTTTACATTTCAAGTGACATTTTACCACAGGCACTCACTTATTTTGTCTTCCCGGAACCCCTTCACTAACACATAAAATTTAAGGTATGGTATTAAAGTTCAAAATGACTTTAAGTATTATTACGAATATTTTGTACGGGAATATAGAAAAGTGTTGTTTTTGAACTTTTTTTGGCAATTTTTTAAATTTTTCTCTCCGTAAGAACTATCCTCATACTTCAAGGAATATTATTAAAAAAGAATTAGCCGAATCGGTTCACCTGTTCTCGAGATTTGAGCTAAGCAACACATTCAGCGATTCATTTTTATATATCGAGATATAAAACATGTTTATTAAATTTTTACTTATAAACTTATAATATAGTTATATTATTTATTACTTTTATCTGTATAATAATGTAATATAATGAGCAATACAAGAATTTTCAAAGGTATTTTTCGCCATTAGCGTTTTTTTGTAATGATGTTTTTGTAAAATGTACTGAATAATAACGTGTTTGCATTAATTGTCACTTAAAAACGATAACAATTCAAAATGTATGTAACACATAATATTTTAAATTTTGATATTTTATAGTATCAATATCTAACATTATACGATCAAAACTGATAAAATATCCTGACGTATCTGACGTATTAGATATTGATGGAAGATTTATTTTTATTTAATGAAATTAATGTCACTTAATAAAAATAAAATCAAAATACTTCCTCAGGAAAAGGAATCTTCCTTGCTATTCCATTTTTTTCCGAGTACTTTTACAAAGATTTCAATTCACAGAACGTCTTATTTAACTTTTTTTTTGTAGCCAATAATATGTGTTTATTCTATGGTGCCCAAAACGTCCGTACGGTGGCTTATTGTAAGTAGATACATTTTCCTGCATCTGAAACCTTACTTTATAATTATATAAATATTGTAAATGCTATTTACTATATATTTCATATTGCTATTTTCATATAAATTCTCTTTATTTAAAATTTTATTATTCTGGCATCTTTTGCTACACCTACCTTAAAATCTCACCACATCCTGGGTTGACTGGTAGAGAATTCCTTTGGGTATTAAGTCCGCCCTTTGTTACCTTATTTTACTGAAGGTTGGCAATAAAGATTAAACAAATAAATAAATAAATCTTTACATAGCATAAAACAAAATCGCTCCCGATGTTTGTACGCTCAGATCTTCTAAACTACGCAACGGATTTTAATGCGGTTTTCAGAAATAGATATAGTGATTCAAGCGGAAGGTTTCACTTTATATTAAAGAAAAGCTAAGAAATTCAATATCTACAACGAAAACCGTTTCGAGCCAGGGCTGGTCGCCAGTCTAATATAAAAAGTTTTACGTCCTTTTGACAAGTCATATAAAAACGGTCGCGTAGCAACAGTAAAATGTTGCTATGCGACCGTTTTCTCCATCGACATATTCAATTTACAAGCGTGTTTTTATTTTTAAATACGTAGGTAACGAGAATTATTTTTTCCAGGATTTAAGCGAGAAACTTAAGCGGCGACGTAAATAAACGGGGGCGTTAATTAGCGAGGCGTACCGGGATTACTTCGAATCCATGGGCGCCCGTTGCGCGCTACCTAGGCCACTTAAACGTCAATCCATCGTTAATTCGTCGCGAGCACAATCGCTCATTTGGTGCCGTTCTCACGCCGCATTAAAGTCTTCCCCGCTTTTCGGCCGCTTCCACCGTTTCCCCGGGCACAATGAGCGGGTGATTCGGCGGCGAATAACGAGGGCATTTTGTCGGCCGCCTCTCACGTCCGACGCCTTCCGACGCTCAATGAAAGTTTACCTGCAGCGGTAACGAGCGATTTGTCCCCCGGCCCCGGCCCCGGCCTCAGCCCGCGCCGGGCCCAAATCAAAGCCCATTCACATCTGCATGCGGACACAATGCCGGCAATTAGGCCGTTCGTTCGCCCCACAATCGAACTTAATGCGCTCGTTCGGCGACGTCGCGCGAGCACCAGCCGCCTGGCGAAGTCCGCCTTTAGCCCTCCGTATCCATACCTCAATCGGCATAGTTTAATCCCCATACGAAAGCGTCAATGGTATTCCGGCACGAGATAACGCCTCTTTCAAGAGCCATTACGTACAAACTATATGGACCTTTCTAAAATATCACACGACGCACTTTTATCACGACGAGAAAATAAAAAGATCACATAATCGGATGGAGGGCATAAACAAACACTCAAATATATATAAAATTTAATTAAAAAATTATACATCCTTATCTTCCGTGCGTTTAAGTTACGGCGTACAAATGGAAGAAACTGGTACACCTCACTCATCCATATTCTGCTTTTAAATAAGACTGATAAAACCGATAGGAAATATCTACAGTAACGTATGACGTCCATTAATCTACCATAAAAGTAACTAATGAATGTTATTAATGAATCTAAATGTATACCTTCACATCCAAACAAGTTATTTTACATTCTTGTCCGATGCGAATGGGTTTTTAAAAGTTACGAGTGCACAACATAAATTAATCATTAAATATAATTTGATGACGATGTAAAATTAATTACATAAGAACATAATTTACCTATATATATTGAAATAAAAGCAATTGTTTCAAATAATTCTGCAAAATATTCTCTAAACGTTTAGTTATAGCCTCATAAATGTTCTTAATAAATCGAAAAATTACTACACTCATGCCCAATAGCTAAATTAGCTTTTGGGCATGAGTGTAGTAATTTTTAGGTTTATTACCTGAACTAATGCCTTCGTGCTTTCTAAATAACAGTCTTTCTGATACTGTAAAATAGTACTATTAAATGGGTTAGTACAGATCCAATTACACAATTTATCTACACATTTTAAGTTTTAAATTAAGAGAATCATAGTCTGTGATATCAGAACTATGTAATGTATTACTACAGGGCGTCCCGTAACATTGAATACTGCAACGAAAGACAATAATCATATGAATTAAACGTGATTAAATGCGTCGTTTAAAGGTTTCATGAAAAATATAACAAATTAACTTACTAAGTGTTAAAAGAGAGATTAATTAGAACTTTGTACCATAAAATATCTCACTCCTATGATTAGGGAGGGTTTTATGAAGATTAAAGGTTCATAGGACATGCAAAAATGCGTTTAATAATTATTCTTAAGCTAAAGTGGTTCAGTGACGTATGTATACAGCCAAGCGAATTACTATAAATAGTTTTTAATGTATGTATATTCGATAAACACTATTTATAGCGAGTAGTTATCAAATTGCCCATTTGTTTTTACAGAAGTACCCTACTGATTTGTTAATTTCTTCTTATACATGGGCACATTTGGGACTAAAATTGTTAAAGGTTGGTGAAAAACTGATTGCATCAGTTATTATAACATAAACACAGTGACGTAAATTGAACTAAAGTAACAACCTATATAGGTACTCGAATGACTCACACTGCTTGACTAATAATTCTCTGTACTATTCTCCACTTCTTTCTATATACAATAGTCTGTATTATATTTATTACTATTTCGAAAGTTTAAGATTTATTTACGATGTTCTCTTTTTAACTAAGGTTAATCGAGTGCTATACAAAATTAAAAGACACTGACTATGAAAGTTCTTAAAGTAGGTACTGACACTCACATTCTCCTATAATATAAAGTCACTTGCACCCATATACACATCTTTTGTCTTATTTTAGGCTATAGCTTCTTCGCTATTACGAATTCAGTCAGATGCATAAATAAATTCGGTTGAAACGCACATTCGTGTCTATTAATACAAAAGTATTACAAAACAACAGGCAGCTGCTGAGAGACGGTGTCGCGCGGAGTCGGGCGTTTTGTGTGTCGCGTCATCGCCCCCTTTGTGGAGGCAAATCGCTAGAGGTCTGGGTCAAACGTACATCGTAAATCACCCCACCTGCTTGAGTCACGCTGACTTACAGCCATTCGAAGTTCAAAAGCTTTGGCGTGACCACTTGAACAAGTTACACTTGGCATGAAATGCGTTGTCGTGTCTGATAAGTTATGATTTTTTTTTTCCCTGGCAACGAGGTGAATATTTATAAAATAAACTGTCGTATTGTTTTATTATACAATTTCAATACAGATACATTCCGAAATAGCAAATAATCTAACAACGTTAAAGGGACAAAAAATTTCATTATACACATTGGAATTGATAGAAAGACTTAAAAGTAATGTGGTTCTCGTAATGGTTTTGGCGAGAAGCCGAAATAACAAATACAAACGGCACATATACATATAAATCGCGTGTAGAACTTTGGGTGTCGATTAATTTAAATTAGAATAACATGCAGTTGTATTTTACGTTAATTATATACGATCCCTTTCGCACACGGTTAAACAACGAGTACGTACGTACCTAGCTAATAAATAAATCACACGAGTGTAGTGGCACCCATTTAATTAATAATCTACTTAAAACCAGCTGATTACGCTGTTTTATTCTTTAACATAATTCTGTATGTACTGATAATCCTTAAAATGCTATTTCATGTATTATATTTATTATTTACTTTACTAATATAAATATTTACCTAAGATTATAGTACATTTGCATATATTGTTTAATCACATCGCAAATACCTTTGGTTTCATTATAATATATAAGAAATTACAGCATAATACACAATAAATACTTATTAAAAAAAAAACATTTCTTTCATGAATTAAGGTTAAACATGTGAATAAGGTTAAAATCGTTTACACATAATTTTACGGTAGCCAACAATCGTGGACGAAGTATTTCGGAACCACGCCAGCCGCCATTAAACACAAACGTTTAAACAATCCCAAAAGTACCAACGAAATGTTTGTTAATCCGAAACTGGTGTTGGCAAACGTCACCGTTTTCGACATTCAACGCCCCAGTAATGTTTATTATAATAACCGTTTGTCTCGAGCTGCTTTACAGCGGACTGTAGCCCGCTGACCTGTACGAACGAACACGGTATTCGTGTTTTAGTGTGTTCGTGGAATTTTCTCTATTTTAAGAACGTTTGTAGGTGACGGGGCGCGTATTATCTCATTTCTTCGGGCGCTTCAAACGACATATGTATTTGTTTTAGTAATTTTTACTTAACACGACACAATTATGTCTTGTCTTGCTGCATGTAACGTCGCCTTTCGCTAGGCTTAAGAAAAAGTGATTGTGAGAATAAGCTAAAATAAACTACTTATATTATACATATTACATTTAATGTATTCAAATAATATATAATTATCAGTAAGGCCATTTTAAGTTTGAAACAATAACATGTTATTAATCGTTAAAAAGAAAATATGTTAAATATTTATTTAGCATATCTTCTTATAACCCTATTTATCTAACATATTAATTTTAATACACATAGAAAATACACTTTTAATACACTAGAAAGCGGTGAAGGAAAACATCGTGAGGAAACTTGCATATTTTTGAAATAATAACAAATATATATATGTAAAGTCCGCCAATCCGCAGTGGGGCCGCGTGGTGGACTATGCCCTGATACCCTCTGTATAGAGGAGGTCTTTGCCCAACAGTTGGACATGTATACTTTACTTTTTTTTACACTAGAAAAATATAGATAGGTTTAGAATAAGTTTTCAGTAAAAATAAAATACTTTAAAATGTGAAAAAGTGCTGTGCCTGTACGACGAGTAGTAGATAACATACCTACATGATGTCGTTATGTTCTTTTATATATGACCACACAGACAGCTAAAGACTAGTTATTCCAGTGTCTGGGTGTACATATATAACAAAACTATAACAAACAATATTTTTGTAGTAATGGGTATCGAACCCACACACTTGCGCAAAAGGCAAGTTTACTGCCCACTTCGCCTATCAGGTCGTCGAAAATATTGTATATAATCTCGCAATGAGACAAACTTGACTTGGAAAATCAACTCTAATCACTACCTGCAGCCTAAAGTAGACACGTAGCCTGAAACTCAACTACTCACTCACGTAGCCTGAAACTCAACTACTCACGAACTCACTAGGCCAACACACCACTATAGACCAACTAAGGGCACTTCATACCTAAAAAAAAGTACGTCTAAATTATTACGTAATTACGTAATAAATTTAGACGTGAACCAGTTATCAACTTTAGTTAAAAGACCACGTTATCAAATTTAATACAGCGTTATCATAATATATGTAGGGGACCAACTCCACGCAGTGACAGCAGATGCCAAAGACACTATTAAAGGTTTAAAACTTCGTTTTGATCGTAACCATAGCATGATAAAAGAAACAAATTTCTCGGCTTTCTTAACAGCATTATGATTATAATGTTAATTTCTGCTTGAAACATCATTATTCCTGCATGCGAAGCAAGTATGTGTAAGTGTGAATGCAAAATGAAAGAAAGGGTCAGACCCGGAGTTGAAATACGCTTCATAACAAGGAACCGTGGTCGTAACTCCGGATAAAAACCTACGCGGTTGTATTTCACTTAGACTCATTAAGTCCAATCCGAAGTACTATCGGCGCGGATGATCCAACAATGTTTCAAATTAACAAGTTGACAATCGTGCAAGCGGAGTGTGGGTGATGTTCCTAGCGAACGAGCGTCTGGTGCATCATTAAGGAGCATTCACGGGGTCCGACAATATTCTTCATTTGCGTACCGGGCGCTCGTCATTTGGCGCATTGTGACGGACGGGGCTGGAGGCCGCCCTTAACTGCAGCGATGCGCCGTACCATCGCCTTAATTGTACCCTTGTTCGGCGCTCGAGGCGCTAGAATTTACACTTCATTTGCGTATGTTCTCCTAGTACTCTGTATTAAGATCTTAATTCAAACAATCTCGATAGTTCATGCATAGGGTTGTTTATAAATAATTTAAATGCCATTTCAGATTTGACAAGCTTAACTTGAGTTTTTGAAACGGTATCACATACAATTCTTTCCACAAATTTTATTGTTCAATCACCATATCATCAGCGGTAGAGGAAAATATTAAGAGCAGACCTCCATATCAATGAAATAATAAAAAAAAACATTTCTAAGATATTTATTAACCATGGCAGAACCCAAGAACCTCTA